GAGCAGGTTTTCATCAAGGATATCTCTGTACTTTGCTCTGTTCATCGTTCACTCGATCCTGACTAGTCTCCCAGTCCCTGCTGCTGAAAAACATCCCCAGAGCATGATGCTGCCACCACCATGCTTCACCGTAGGGATGGTGCCAGGTTTCCTCCAGACGTGTCGCTTGGCATTCAGGCCAAAGAGTTCAATCTTGGTTTCATCAGACCAGAGAATCTTGTTTCTCATGGTCTGAGAGTCTTTAGGTGGCGGGCTGTCATGTGCCTTTTACTGAGGAGTGGCTTTCTTCTGGCCACTCTACCATAAAGGCCTGATTGGTGGAGTGCTACAGAGGTGGTTGTCCTTCTGGAAGTTTCTCCCATCTCCACAGAGGAACTCTGGAGCTCTGTCAGAGTGACCATCGGGTTCTTGGTCACCTCCCTGACCAAGGCCCTTCTCCCCCGATTGCTCAGTTTGGCCGGGCGGCCAGCTCTAGGAAGAGTCTTGGTGGTTCAAAACGTCTTCCATTTAAGAATGATGGAGGCCACTGTGTTCTTGGGGACCTTCAATGCTGCAGAAATGTTTTAGTACCCTTCCCCAGATCTGTGCCTCGACACAATCCTGTCTCGGAGCTCTACGGACAATTCCATCGACCTCATGGCTTGGTTTTTGCTCTAAACGTGCACTGTCAACTGTGGGACCTTATATAGACATGTGTGTGCCTTTCCAAATCATGTCCAATCAATTGAATTTACCACAGGTGGACTCCAATCAAGTTATAGAAACAGGATGCACCTGAGCTCAATTTCGAATCTCATTGCAAAGGGTCTGAATACTTATGTAAATAAGGTATCTGTTGTTGATTTTTTAAATAAATTTGCAAAAATTTCTAAACACCTGTTTTCGCTTTGTTATTATGGGGTATTGTGTGTAGATTGATGAGGATTTTTTATTGATTTAATCAATTTTAGAATAAGGCTGTAACGTAACAAAATGTGGAAAACGTCAAGGGGTCTGAATACTTTCCAAATGCACTGTACCTCTCCCAACCCTTATTTGTTTGTACCTTATTTTTCCTCCATCCACAGCGTGTTATCTGAATTTATACAATGGGTGGGTCTTATACTGAATGCTGATTGGTTAAAACCGCATTCCAGTCGGTGTCTATTCCACAAGTTACCACTCGCTAAATCTATGATGTTCAAATGCCTATTTACTCTGTTCCATCTAACTGCGCAATCCACTGTCTCATAAGCCAAGCACCGCCTTCTACCTGACCTATGGAGAGCATCAATATTACAGCGTTTTCTACATGATCTGGTTGACGTTTCTGTATAGCTGGAAATACATGAACTATCCACCTGGGTGTACACCTGCTGCATACGGACAACTAACCTCTGGACCAGGTGACCTTTGCTTTCAGTTAATGACTGTAGGGGTCGAACGGAACATGACACCATAGTTGAACTAACTTATTGGAAACACATAAGGCCATCATGTTCGCATAGCCCATTGCTATTAGATTAATATTACCTAGAATCTTCCAGTTTACCATGGGGTTGAAATGAGAAATCATGGGTTTGATAAATTCCTATAGAAACACCCTCACATAAGGCCTCATCAAGTCATATTATTGATATTAGATTTCAGCTAGAATCTTGGCAGCCATCCAGGGATTAATTCTATTTTCAATTTCTTCTAATTAAAGTGCTCATAAAAGGTGGTTATGTTTTTCTCCTATCTACCAGAGTTGTTAATATTGCCTTTGACAAAATGGTTGTTTGTTGATAAGGTGAGAGATGGATGTCTCAAAGGGAAAATTAGAGATTAATATGATGAAAGGAGAAGGTTAATATTTTAGATATCCTGAAAGATTGGAGAAAAAGAGACTAGATTTTGCTCGTTTCTTGAATTAAGTGAAATATTGCCACCTAGTGGTCTTACTATGCTACTTCCATGTCAATATTCCAATACGCTGTTTGTATTTTGCAGTCTGCACTCTCCATGATGGCCTCCGGACATTACTTCTGTGTGGCTTGAGATGCATGCTAAAACACTGCATATCTGTCTGCCATCCTAGCTCCCTTGCAGAAGAAATGTGAAGATTGGCTGTCAGTGGACAGATATGAGCCTCCTGCTCCCCAGAATCTACCAGAATGACTTACCATTGTACCAGTCAATATGCGGTAATTCAGTGTGATAAGTGAGCCTCTGCTCTAACCTGAGAGTGGATGATTGACAGCTAGTCTCGTGACACTCAATATTAGATTCTATGTTCCCAGATATGACAGAAAAGTAGTAATTTTTCTTCTGGACCCTTTGAGATGCATATACACTACATGACCAAAAGTATGTGGACAACTGCTCGTTGAACATCTGATTCCAAAATCATGGGCATTAATATGGAGTTGGTCCCCCCTTTGCTGGTATAACAGCCTCCACTCTTCTTGGAAGGCTTTCCACTAGAGGTTGGAACATTGCTGAGGGGACTTGCTTCTATTCAGCCACAAGAGCATTAGTGAGGTCGGGCACTGATGTTGGGCGATTAGGCCTGGCTCGCAGTCAGCGTTCCAATTCATCCCAAAGGTGTTCGATGGGGTTGAGGTCAGCTAAGAACTTCCACACCGATCTCAACAAACCATTTCTGTATGGACCTCGCTTTGTGCAACGGGGCATTGTCATGCTGAAACAGGAAAGGGCCTTTCCCAAACTATTGCCACAAAGTTGGAAGCACAGAATCTTATAGAATGTCATTGTATGCTATAGCGTTAAGATTTCCCTTCATTGGAACTAAGGGGCCTAACCCGAACCATGAAAAACAGCACCAGACCATTATTCCTCCTCCACCAAACTTTACAGTTTGCACTATGCATTGGGGCTGGTAGAGTTCTCCTGGCATCCGCCAAACACAGATTTGTCCGTCGGACTGCCAGATGAACGGGTTTCTACTGCTCCAGAGTCCAATGGCGGCGAGCTTTACACCACTCCAACCGACGCATAGTGATCTTGTGTGTGGCTGCTCAGCCAGTTCTTGTGCCGACGTTGCTGTGAGCTTGTGTGGCCTACCACTTTGCGTCTGAGACGTTTCCACTTCACAATAACAGCACTTACAGTTGACCGGGGAAGCAGGGCAGAAATTTGACATCCTATGACGTCACTGAGCTCTTCAGTATGGGCCGATCTACTGCCAATGTTTGTCTATGGAGATTGCATGCCTGTGTGCTCAATTTTATACACCTGTCAGCAATGGGTGTGGTGGGAAATAGCTGAATCCACTAATGTGAAGGGTTGTCCACATACTTTTGTATAGAGTATCATTACATCACTAGCTGTAAACCTATCAACTCCCACCAGGGGAAGACGAAGCCGCATTGCTCAAACTGATATTTATTGTTCCTTTGTTCGAATGCCAGGCAGAGAACATTACTATGACAACGATAGTGATACTGTGCAAAAAGCTATTCTCGTTCTGTGGTGGATGGTGGACAAAGTACCCAATTGTCATGAGTTAAAGGATACCGTAACAGAAAATGACTCAAGTAGAAGTCCTGTTAAGCATTCAAAATGTAACGAGTACTTTTGGGTGTCAGGGAAAATGTATGGCGTAAAAAGTACATTCTTTTCTATGGGAATGTAGTAGAGTAAAGTAGTCAAAAATATAAATAGTAAAGTACAGATACCCCAAAACACTACTTTAGTACTATACATTATTTTTGAGTACTTTACCACTGCTCATTCTCTAGTAGAAAATAAATACTTCCTGTTCATTTTCCCCTCAGGCTGAACCAGACTAAACAAAGGTATGAATAGGGTCCCTGATCAGCGCTTTCCCCCTCCCAAACCCCACTAGATGGCACCTGGAGTAGAAAACCACACCACTTGACATCACCAGCTTCAACTGAAGCATAAAGCTAGGCTCAACTGTTGGTCCCAGTGTGTAGTTCACCATCTGTTTATTTATAATGTCCAAGATTAAGCCCAATATCCTTCTTTGACCTTTGGGTGATAGGAAAATACTGGCTGTTAAATCTTAGCCTGGAATCCAAACTGAAACCGAGCAGTGTGGAATCCAGGGCGACTACATCCCCAGAATGCAATAACCTGTTCTTGTTTTAAAGGATGGTCTTCGAAGAATAGCAGAAATCTGAAACATCACAGGAATCAATAAACCACACATGGAAGGGCATTTGGCAATTTTATTATTTTTAGTACAACAGTTAAGTCAACATCTATTAAGATGCCAAAGTGTATTGCTCTTTTGCATTTCATATGTAGACCCAGTCTTCCAGTAACATCCTAGATTATTCAAAAGTTACTTCACGGACCTACAACAGCACAAAGTAATGTGCTTTGAGACAAAACCCCACTTTACAAAAGCAAAACAATCTACAGCGGCACAAAGATTAGATTTAGGGGTGAGTCTAATGGCACTATTCAGTGCACTACTTTTGGTTAGTGCATTAGAACACCTGCTGCTGTGAAAAAGGTGAAACCGATCAACACGTTAACAGCCCAGATCAACAATCATTGATCAATAAGTATTATGAACAGTCAGGTGTGGCAGAGACACGATTCCAACGCTGCACTATGGAATAGAGATGCTTCCTTAAAAGGACAAGTACATACACTTCTATTTTTCATTAGGTCAGAAGCTGCAATGACAAAAGCTACATATCCAAAGAAATGGGCTGTGTATGAAATAGTCATTAGCGGTCAAACCCTTGCTTCCTCAATTTCTCTCAAAGCTTCATTGGATGAGGAGGTCTCCTCCAATGCATTTGAGGAATTGACAGCTAGTAAAGTTCAGACAGCCGTGGAATAGAAGTAACAAGTGGACAAGAATATCCACATGTAAAACTATGGCAGGAAAGTAGTAAAATTCACAAAACGGGGATAACTTTATTTTCTTCAAAAGGTGGGTGGCAGTGAACAACAAAAATACTGGCCATCAACTAAATATAAATCAATCTTTGGATACGTAAAAAACCCTCTAGTGTACAATCCAATACAGACTGAAATGTTCAGTTTTCTGATGTCTCGGCACCACCCTCTTTGGTTTCCTTCTTGGCCCGCACCTCTTCCAGTTTCTTGTCCTGGGAAGAAATAGAAGTTCAAAACATTAGTGACAGATCCTTCAAAAGTGCATTATTTAAACAGACCGTACAAAGTGTGACTTGTCTCAGTGACAACGTACACTCATTAATATTTTCCATCACCAATTTGTCATGTGGTTGACCAGTGACATTGCTGTTAACCGTTGGTGTGAATCAATAAAAATGTTGATCAACTGAACCAACTCTGAACTCACCTTGTAGATAGTCAGTGATAGTCAAGTTGTTGATGGGGCACAGTTATTTGAATATCCGAACAGACGTTTTCCTAAGTCACTGAACAGAATTCAGTGACTTAGGAGAGTATTCATTTTTTGGTTAAAGCTGTGTAAAATGTAAATTGTGACATTTCCACGTAGCCTCCAGTGATAGACCATTGCATTTTAATAGTTTTAAAAGTGTGCCCCATAAAGACGCACCGGTAGCCTGTTTCACAGGTGTAGCCTGTTTCACAGGTGTAGCTTGTTATTGTCGGTCAATCAAAGCAGCACTACAGTAAGAGGCTCCTTGCGTAGCAATTGAAGTGGCAGATTTCTAATCAATGTGAAATAGAAGGCTACAATGATCAACCAACAGGTAGGCTGTTTCATATGAATAGAGTTGCAGACATTGTATGGGGAGCGCAGCAAAATAGCCTCGCTACTTTAGCTGGCTACAGTAGCTAGCTTCTTTACAACGATTTGATGCAGTTAAGACAGGCACTAACAGATGGTGTGATAGATAATCTATGGCAGCAACAAGTTTGTCTAACTAGCACAAGTCAGTTTGGCTACCTTCTCTCGCTCCCGCCATGCCACAGACTGTCACACCGGCCCCTGCTTCTCACCCCACCCCCACAAGCAGAGCACCGTGGCTCTCGTCGCGTGACCAAGTCTCCATTGAAGTTTGCCCCCCCAACATTTTTTCTCAAACATGCATTTCCACTACCTGGATAATTCTTCTAATACTAAAATTATTTCAAATGCCCATCCTTAGTATCCTTCAAACAGCACGCATGATTGCAGTTTTGTTTTTAGCCAAGGTCAACAGCTTGCTAGCAAGAACAGCACCCTCCCGATTGGGTGTAGCAGTGCCAAAATTTGCATGAACTTTGGAAATGTTATTCTGGTCGCTGGCTGTAGGCACAGACCATTAAGTCACTCAAATCGGTCATGTTCGAGAGCGTCAAAACCGTGATGCATCATGTGTAAATTGTGACAGAGGGATCTGCAAATAATTAGTTATTTACGACACAAGTGGGTTTGTAGATTAGTCGGCAGTCGCGAACAAGCTCACCATCTCCTTGTGTCCTCCATTGAAAATGACTGGTAGCAGGGTCACCGATTAGCACTGCAAGACTGCTCTGCATGTAAAAGATACCAACATACCTTCTCCTTGAACTTCTCGCTCATGGCTGCCTGAAGGGCCTCCTTGTTCTCTTTGTTGGCCTCCATCTTCTGGTTAAGCTTCTCCTCAGCTATCTTGCTGAAGTTGTTGTTCTCCTCCATGGCTTTCCTTTGCACCTCCTTCTCATGCTCCCTCTTCTCAGCTAGGTGCTTCAGAACCTCCGCTTCATGGGACTGGAGGATGGCGCAAGAGGTAAGAGTTTGATTCAGATACCCAATTAAAAAACATTTGAATAAACACAATAGATTGCAATAGATTGCCCCCCAAGTTCTGAGCAACAAAAATAGTTGGGGGGGGACACACACCAAGTGATTTTAATTTGGGAAATTTGTTCTAAAGTATTCCCACTCAGATATGTGATCATACACAAATATAAGCAAGGATTAGGTTTTAGTAAAACATCAGTTTGGGCTTGTCGGTCAATTTGCAGTCTACAAATGTTGTAATTATGCTCTGAACCCCAACCATCCACTCAAGAAAAATGATAGGGAAAAAAAAAAAAAGTTGATCACTGGCATAGAGGCATGTAATGGCATCATGGCGAAAGGTTCATGTGTATACACGCACACTAGTGATAAAAAAAATAACACGATAGTTACATGTCGGGATATAGTAGTATTTCTTGGGATCCCAATAGGATATAATTTATCGCTATATCGTATTGACAATAACAGTATTATTTTTACACTAGTTGGCTGTACCAAAACTCTAGTATTTTTCCTTCATTAGCTTGTTTGCCATCTTTTTAAATAGGGAGCCAATTTGTTTTCAGCACTTTTATTTCAATGACTGATCAAAACTCATTTCATGGCTCAGTCTTGTCCATCTGCAGCAGACATATGGTGAGCAATATGTTTGGAATATTGAAACAAAATCAGTATCGAATCGTGAGAAACGCAATACATAGTATAACCTAAGCAGGGTGGGAAATTCTCATAATTACACCCATAAAATAAAAAAAGTAAACATGTGTTTGCAATGTTTCTAAAACAAATTTATTACTAGTAAGCAGTAATGTAATATACTGCTCAATGCAACATCTTTTAACCAATGCATGTTAAAACAAATCATTTGGATACAATAAAGTAAAGAAAAAGAGTTCTACAACTGAACATCAAGAAGCATAGTGCCTGGCCTGCCACAAAATGCTGAGTGATACAGCTCATTTATTATTAGTTCAGGATTCCAACGCAAATACACTGCAAAAAATAATAATAAAGGGAACACTAAAATAACACATCCTAGATCTGAATGAAATAATCTTAAATACTTTTTTCTTTACATAGTTGAATGTGCTGACAACAAAATCATCAATGGAAATCAAATTTATCAACCCATGGAGGTCTGGATTTGGAGTCACCCTCAAAATTAAAGTGGAAAACCACACTACAGGCTGATCCAACTTTGATGTAATGTCCTTAAAACAAGTCAAAATGAGGCTCAGTAGTGTGTGTGTGGCCTCCACGTGCCTGTATGACCTCCCTACAACGCCTGGGCATGCTCCTGATGAGGTGGCGGATGGTCTCCTGAGGGATCTCCTCCCAGACCTGGACTAAAGCATCCGCCAACTCCTGGACAGTCTGGTGCAACGTGGCGTTGGTGGATGGAGTGAGACATGATGTCCCAGATGTGCTCAATTGGATTCAGGTCTGGGGAACGGGCGGGCCAGTCCATAGCATCAATGCCTTCCTCTTGCAGGAACTGCTGACACACTCCAGCCACATGAGGTCTAGCATTGTCTTGCATTAGGAGGAACCCAGGGCCAACCGCACCAGCATATGGTCTCACAAGGGGTCTGAGGATCTCATCTCGGTACCTAATGGCAGTCAGGCTACCTCTGGCGAGCACATGGAGGGCTGTGCATCCCCCCAAAGAAATGCCACCTCACACCATGACTGACCCACCACCAAACCGGTCATGCTGGAGGATGTTGCAGGCAGCAGAACATTCTCCACGGCGTCTCCAGACTCTGTCACATGTGCTCAGTGTGAACCTGCTTTCATCTGTGAAGAGCACAGGGCGCCAGTGGCGAATTTGCCAATCTTGGTGTTCTCTGGCAAATGCCAAATGTCCTGCACGGTGTTGGGCTGTAAGCACAACCCCCACCTGTGGACGTCGGGCCCTCAGAGTCTGTTTCTGACCGTTTGAGCAGACATGCACATTTGTGGCTTGCTGGAGGTCATTTTGCAGGGCTCTGGCAGTGTTCCTCCTGCTCCTCCTTGCACAAAGGCGGAGGTAGCAGTCCTGCTGCTGGGTTGTTGCCCTCCTACGGCCTCCTCCACATCTCCTGATGTACTGGCCTGTCTCCTGGTAGCGTCTCCATGCTCTGGACACTACGCTGACAGACACAGCAAACCTTCTTGCCACAGCTCGCATTGATGTGCCATCCTGGATGAGCTGCACTACCGGAGCCACTTGTGTGGGTTGTAGACGCAGTCTCATGCTACCACTAGAGTGAAAGCACCGCCAGCATTCAAAAGTGACCAAAACATCAGCCAGGAAGCATAGGAACTGAGAAGTGGTCTGTGGTCACCACCTGCAAAACCAGTCCTTTATTGGGGGGTGTCTTGCTAATTGCCTATAATTTCCACCTGTTGTTTATTCCATTTGCACAACAGCATGTGACATGTATTGTCAATTAGTGTTGCTTCCTAAGTGGACAGTTTGATTTCACAGAAGTGTGATTGACTTGGAGTTACATTGTGTTGTTTAAGTGTTCCCTTTATATTTTTGAGCAGTGTACATTGAGCATAGAAATTTGTTCATTTAAAAATAACATTACTAGAAGTTCATGAATAAAATTTGAGTTTTCAATGCTCAAGCAAGCACATTGTACCCCCAAATATTTGCATCATTAGGTGTGACAAAATGTTCAGCTGCTCCTTTAAGGGACGGGCCATTACTGTGGTAATCTGTGTTAGCAGACAGTTGCAAACTAATATTGAAAAACAAGCATGTAAACAAAACAATGCAACTAGCCAAGAAACACAAGGACAACGTCACACTTGTAGCCTTTCAGGTCAAGTCAACTTCTATATTTGAGCCTTGGATTGAAAAAATAAAAAAACATCCCAAATTCTGTATAACCACCCGACAACGTGGCTGCTGAAATAACATTCCTACCGCCAAAATCTACCCGCATTTGACAGGTGTAAATTTTCCACCCAAGTGTCATGATAATTTCATATTGTGAGGTCCCTGGCATTTCCCAGGCCTACTAAATACATTCCCCAAATTGTGCCAGTCAAAGCTAGGATCAACCCCGCCCCTCCCCCCCCCAAAAAAAAGTGTTTTAGCTAACAATATACACCATTATGAGTGAGGGTAGGTGACCTTTCTGAACAATAGTTTTACCTTTAGAGGACCCCTTTTGGCTCAAGAGCACATCCATAGGCAAAAGGTTCAGTATAGTATTTTTAACTGGAGCACGACCTACCTTCCGCCTCTCCTCTGCAGCCTCCAGTTTCCTCTGGATCTCCTCCAGGGACAAGTCCTTCTTCTTAGGAGGAGACAGGGGGAACTCTCCCTTGGCATCTGCAGCTGGAGTGCCCAGGATCACCTCGAACGCTTGGCCAGACGCACGTTTGTCAATCTCCTTAACCTGAATATCTAGGAGGGGACAAATTATGCATTTGTTATCAAATCAAAGTTAATTGGTTGCGCACACAAATGCTACCGCAGGTCAGAACGAGCAATGCCAGAGTCCAGAAATAAATATTAAAAAAGTGTGTATAGCCAGTATATTCATAGAAACTGTACAGGAGCAGTAGTTATATAGGACGAGCCAAGACTAGAATGCAGTATATACACATATATGAAGTCCAGGTGAGGGATACATACATGCTGACATTAGAGGTTTCTAAGTGAATGGGGCACTTGTCTGGTAAAACTGAAATACTAATCCTTCCATGAGGGAAGAGGACAGGAAAGTGAACACTACAGGGAGATGGGGGTAGAGACAAAAGAGGGCCACTGTGTGGACATTTAACTTGGGCTCCCCCAAGGGAAAAAAAACACTGCGTCTCCTGTCACCTGGACTGATGGGAATAGACGTGAATGGTGAAAACAATATGGTGGAAGCACATCATTAGACTGGCTTCCACCTGGTAATTATTTTCAGATAGAGGAGAGGGGTGAGAAACTATTATTTTCATGGCTTTCAAAATCACAACTTACCACCGCAGGAGGAGGCCATTTCAGTAGTGGACAGTGAGTCAATGTACCTGGAAGAAATGTCTCAATTAGAACCACATTTACTCAAATCCCTTTTAACACTAGCAGTTGTCAGTGCCTTTACAGGAACCCGGCCTTAACCCCAACAACCAAGACTGCCAGCACTTGCTAATGCATCAGTATGTCCTTGAACATGACGCACCAGCTACACCCACTCTGAGGACTGGATGAAATCTCCATCTCATCTTTACAAGCTGCCTGAATCACTAACAGAACACTAGCACCGTCTAGTGGGATAGAAACACCATTTACTGTGTGTTCAGGTGGAAGACTGACTAAACAGTTGGGAAAAGCCAAACAAGGCCCACTCAGTGGCGACATCCGTCGGTCATGTGCAACAGCGACCAAGCAACGCCCTATCAATGTAGCCTATTTAAAAATTATTATTATTATTATTTTTTATTAAAAATGCTGTCTGGCATTCATTCACAGCTAAATAACTACATTTACATTTTAGTCATTTAGCAGACGCTCTTATCCAGAGCGACTTACAGTTAGTGAGTGGATACATTTTATTTTTTTCATACCCCCCGTGGGAATCGAACCCACAACCCTGGCGTTGCAATCGCCATGCTCTACCAACTGAGCTACATCCCTGCCGGCCATTCCCTCCCCTACCCTGGGCCAATTGTGCGCTGCCCCATGAGTCTCCCGGTCGCGGCCGGCTAAGACAGAGCCTGGATTCGAATCAGGATCTCTAGTGGCACAGCAATGCAGTGCCTTAGACCACATGGCACATTAAAAACTACACTAGCAAATGACATCCACATGTAATCAAGAAGCCACTACTGTAGATGGGCGAGCAGGCCTTTCAATGCCGGTCTACAGCGTTTCAGTGCCATTCTGTAGGTATGGATACTTTGATGAACTAACAGGCCATGGTTAGAACAAAAAGGCTAGAGCTTACTAAAATTGCAGGGTATTGAAAATGCGATATGAAGCTACAGAGATATTTGGCAGCTATAACCTACACAGGCGGCCAACGAACCTAATCTCTGAATTTTCAAGCAGATTCAGCAGAACACATTCAACACAAGCTGCAATGGGGCACCCGTTTGTACATAGCACAATAGCTATAAGCCACAGGGTGAGGTAACAAAAGTTCCAACCGCAGTCTCAAGACAACAAAAAGACTAGGTAACGTTCCAGGGTCACAACAAAACTGTCGTTAAGTTTCCAAAATATTAGGTAACGGCACAACAAAAGCTCTTTTGTTTGATGCAATGAACGTCAATGAGAACAGCGGCAAACAAAGAGGGGCGCGTGTTCTCAAGGCAGCTCCGCGCGTTTAGCTACTCGCACGCTGCCCCTCAACACCAAGTTCGGTTAAAAATCACAATAATTGGCCAGAACTTTCAACGAGAAATAATTTTAAACGTAAATAAATCTAAGAATTGTTAGTGGTGACGGGAAGCTTCAAATACGGATGGCAGCGTTTATTTTTGCAAAGCGCCCTGCAAACAATGTTTAAAAAGTAATCGAGGCGCATCAATTATATAATGGCTGATCAAAGTATCCCAAATTAGCTCATTTAAAATGTATATTTTTGTAAGCGCAAAAATACTTTAACTAGCTACGTCGTGTAATCAATAAAGTAATTTGCGCCACTATCAAGTATGCATCCCTAACCAGCAAGTAAAGTGTCAAGACAAACACACATTGGTCACCGACAACTAGTCACTGTCTGAAGCTGAACAGTACAATCAAATATGGCTAACGTTACTGTGGAACAACCAGCCACCCACCATTAGATCCATGTTCTTTTTACAATTGCATAAATTCACTAAAGCATCAATGAAAGACAGGAAATGAACAATATCTCAGCAACAATCTTCATTAACGTTGGCTAGTTAGGTTGGTTGCTAGCTAATACATTAACGTCAAAAAAAAAACGGACAACAAATGTCGTTCAGCCAATATTGAAGCTGAGGTAACACATTTTATCACCACTTTACCAATTTTTTTTTAAGGTAAACCAGTACTTTCATAAATCAGCCAAGATTAGCTACAATTTCAATCATATTTTTGGTACGGATAACGTTAGCTATACAACAGAGTAAGGTTACACCCACCTTTACCAACAGTTAAACAAATTTCTCCTCTGCAGCTAGACTTTCGCGGCGAATTCTCTACTCGAGTATTGCCAGTTCGCGCATAAAAAGCCCCAAATGTGTGTCGTCAAAGCCAATTCTGCAATTCTATTGGCTGTTTATTACTCTCTCCGCACTCCTGGTAGTTGTAGTTTTATGGCTTTCAAGACGTCAACACAGAGAAGACGAGCGTCTCCCTAACATTTCAATTAATTTGGTAATGAATAATGAACTTTGAATGTATTGAATGAACATATAAATTGATTGTTTCAATTTAATTGATCAAAAATATGGGTATTTTGGGGATGACATTTCATAAGTGTGTGCTTGACCTACATCAGTCAGTCAGCCCTTGCATGAGGTGTGTGATGATTACATAAGTCTTCAATCTCGAGGACTGCCTGTGCCTTCATCTGTGTTTTGGCCATAGTAGACTGACTATACGATTTATTGTACGAAATAACGTTTTTATCACATTGTCTGCGCTATTTTATTTTGTGCAACATCCTCCATAGTCATGACTGTCATTGTGTCCTACTTTTTTTTAATCACACAGAGAGATATGACTGCAAAGGATCCATGGAATGACCCATGTTTCCTCCAGAGCCAGAAAGCTGCAGTCATACATCATTTATCAACCATTTGTCTGATGTCAGAGGACTTGAGAGGACTGCACCCCCAATCCTGAAAGAAGTCAGCTTCTGCCAGTCTGTTTGCTAGATAATGTCACACCCCAGGACTCCAACACTCCTGAGACTATGACAACTCTCTAAAGGCTTTATGTTTATTCTCTATGACTAGGCTAGCACACCACAGACTTTACAGTCTATAAACTCTTGTCTCTGAAGAAAATTGTTTTTTCCAGGGAGAGAGGGAGACAAGGGGAGGCAGAAGATAGCGCAACCTGGTCTCAGAGCATTTCGAATTATTATGTACGCACTCGTGCATCAAAGTAACATAATGAAAATATCCCAATCAAAATCCATCAGTTTAAGCTAGAGATATAAGCTTTGTTTCATGGACTGCGTCTCAATCCACCGCACCCATCCAGGATCTCCTCCCAAGTCCAGGCTGTCTGTTCCTGGACACGCTGCTTGGTCCTTTTTTGGTGGGATCTTCTGTCACGAACGTTGACTGATGACTTGTGGAACCAAGGCGCAGCGTGATAAGCGTACATTTTATTTAGTACACAACACACGAACAAAACGAACGATACGTGAAGTCCTGCGGTTACAACAACACAAACCTTTACGGAACAATATCCCACAAACTAACTGGTGCCAACAGGCTGCCTAAGTATGGGCCCCAATAAGAGACAACGAGCTACAGCTGCCTCTGATTGGGAACCACCCTGGCCAACATAGAACTAAACGATCTAGAACAAAAAACATAGAAAACTAAACATAGAAAATCCACACCCTGGCTCAACATTTAAGAGTCCCCAGAGCCAGGGCGTGACACATATACAGTGCCTTCAGTATTCACACCCCTTGACCTTTTCCACATTTTGTTGTGTTACAACCTGAATAAATGTATTACATTTATATTTTTTGGTCACTGGCCCATAATGTCAAAATGGAAATATGTCTTTCGATCTTTTTTAACAAATTAATTTAAAAGAAAAAGCTGAAATGTCTTTAGTCAATAAGTATTCAACCCCTTTTTTATGGCAAGGCTAAATAAGTTCAGGAGTAAAAATGTGCTTAACAAAACACATAATAAGTTGCATAATAAGCAGTGCATTTCTAACACAGATTCAACCACAAAGACCAGGGAGGTTTTCCAATGCCTCGCAAAGAAGGGCACCTATTGGTACTGTAAAAATGAAAAACAAAGCAGACATTGAATATCCCTTTGAGCATGGTGAAGTTATTAGTTAAACTTTGGATGGTGTATCAATACAACACATTACCACTATCCATATTTTCAAGCATTGTGGTGGCTGCATCATGTTATGGGTATGCTTGTAATTGTTAAGGACTGGGGAGTTTTTCAGGATAAAAAAGAAACGGAATGGAGCTATGCACAGGCAAAATCCTAGAGGAAAACCTGGTTCAGTCTGCTTTCCACCAGACACTGGGAGATTAATTAACCTACAGCAGGACAATAACCTAAAACACAAAACCAAATCTACACTGGAGTTGCTTACCAAGAAGACAGTGAATGTTCCTGAGTGAAAATGGTTGCCTAGCAATGATCAACAACCAATTTGACAGAGCTTGAAGAATTTTGAAAATAATAATGGGCAAATGTTGCGCAAGCGTTGAAAGCTCTTAGAGACTTACCCAGAAAGACTCAAACCTGTAATCACTGCCAAATTTGATTCTAACATGTATTGACTCAGGAGGTTGAATACTTACTAATCAAGATATATTAGTGTTTTATTTCCCATCATTTATTTAACAAATGTTCAACATTTTCTTCCACTTTGACATTAGAGTATTTTGTGTAGATTGTTGACAAAAAATGACAATTAAATCCATTTTAATCCCATTTTGCAACACAACAAAATGTGGAAAAAGTCAAGGGGTGTGAATATTTTCTGAAGGCACTGTAGTTGGAGGATTTCATTTGCGACAGCAGCACCGTTTACTTTCAGTGTTCTCTGCTGATGTAGCTTATACTGCTGTAACCGACTATGGTTTTGTATTCCATCAGCATTCCCATTCCTGCTGTGCTGTGTTGAGAGAGAAAGGGAGAGTGTGGGTCTGTGCATGTGTGTGTGTGCTGTGTAAGGCTTAAAAACAGCTGTAGTTTTAACACAGATCACATAATTAAAGGGATAAACAGCAAGGAACTTGACCCTCCACTTAATCTATCTGTAAAAAGGAATTGGGTTCAGTGAGCCGGACAGGTTTTTTTAGATGTTGTG